TCTCCTATATCTCCTATATCTCCTATACCTCCTATATCTTCTATATCTCCTATACCTATCTACCTATCTACCTCTTACCCTAGGACATAATGGAGTTTCCGGGGATACTCTCCGAAGACATGTAATCTGTCGATGTGCAGTATCCGAAAAATGATTATGGGAATTATTTATAAATGTTTTTAGATAAATTATTTGCGTCATCAAATCTAGAGATAAGATCGATTGATGCTGATGTATTGTGAAAGATAAAGAGAGAGAATAGCACATACCAGAGATACATGGTGAAGAATTGTTCGATTTTTGTATGAAGAAAGCGTTTTTTTAGCCGTTGATATAAAACAAAGGCTAAAAGTATGAATTTGATTCTATTCGATGCAGAAATGTTCCCTCAAGACACCTGTTCAGTTGATCTCAACATTGGAGGTTAATGGAAAACATTACAGCCTCCACTGTGTCACGAAACCAGTCGTGCAGAATACAACCCCAAGGCGCGAGGCTGGTTCCATAGCCTGATAGTGGCTAAAAAATACTTTTTATTAGCATCCAATGTTGAAAACAAGTATACAAGCGTGTAGAGCGAACATTTGTGCATTGTTTAGCATCACTTTCATAGTTTTAGCGTTCGTTTTATGCTATTGGGTGTAGGTGTGTGAGTGTGAGTATCTTTTCTTGTTTGTCCACACCCCCACCCAACCACACCCATATCCACAAGTGTTGGGGAACAATTTTATGCAATACAACCACAATTTATTATGGATGGTTTTACTGATTCATCAAATGCTGAACGTTTTTATTTCGGTGGTTTAACACATGTTCACAGAACATTTGAAATCGATAAAGCATGGCGTCATATTGGACGTAGTGTTAAATTGTTTCATATACTTGAAAATGTCTTTGCTGAATATATATTAGATAATTCTGTGTTTGTTCAAAATCCAATAACAAATCAAATATTATTATGACATCCAGTAACTATTTGTAAAATTCCACCAAGTAAAAAAATAATGTTTTTTTAATAAAAAAAATTCGCAAAAAAGAATTATTTTTTATTTATTTAGAAATTCAATTGAAAATATTTGATAGTGATGATTTTACACAAATATTTAGTAGGGCTGTTGATGAAAGTTATGAAACTGTTTATAATCTCATGAGAATATGTATCATTGGAATGAGTTTGGTTAAAGGATGAGGTGTTGAATATCAGTAAAAATTTATTTTTATTATTTAAAATACAAATAACATTATTCTATCCTAATTTAATTGACTAGACGCTAAATAGTAACATGTACACCATGTTAGATAGAAATTCATTTAGAAGGTTCATGAAAATGGCTTGATACTGTTCTTTCTACAATGAGCGGTTCAAAACAATTGATTACGAATGTTTCATAAGAACGAACTATAATTAATTTTAGTTCTCTGTTAATATTTATGATCTGGATTATTATTAAAGCTATCTCACAACAAGAAAACCCGATTCTTTACTATGGCTAAAGTTGGTCTCATTCTTGTACGTGTCATGTTCCTTTTCTTCTTTTTTAAATGTAAATATTTCATGCTGCTTAGAAAAAAAAAAGACATGTCTGTTGTTGTTACTGATTTTTTTAGCGTTTTTACTTGACTGTTATTATTATTTTTCTTCCCTTTTATTTATACTCTGTATATACATATATAAATAAAAGATATAGATGAATTTCATTTTTTTTGTAGAATATTTGTTTTTGTCAAAAATATGCAAGGATATCATCAGAATTTTAAGTTGAAACAATTAAAGAAGAAAATGGTTGTGTTTTGTTTTGAAATATCATGGCTCAATAATCAATCGAAATGCAGGACAATGTCCTTTCGTTGATTATGTGGATAAGAGGTTAAGGTGGTTTTGGAATAAATGGATAATACTTACAATTCATAATTAGAACTGTCTTGATTAAAAATCAGACAAAATAAAAAAAAATATGATGATCATAATAAGAAATGTGTTGTTAAAAACAGTTCTTTACTCCAGATTTTGTGATAGTAGTGGCATGTTGATATCAAATCAATTTGATGTTTTTATTTTCGATGCGACTGGTTATACTTGTCAATATGTCATCGAAAAAATGACAAACTAACTTAGTTTTAAATGGGATATAGCTGGAAGAGCAGTTAATAAATGAAAACAAATTCTTCAATGAATCTCAAGCATTACAGGTGTCTAAACTATTAAGAAAAAAAATCTACTGGACAAAAAGATCAATGTAAATCTAATTCTAATATTCTGCTAGTACAATTGTTGTAACTATAACTAGTAAACAATCATTAACTGATATGTATGCTCGAACAAAAGTTTTGATTAATTATGTTGAATCAGTATGTAAACAAAAGTAGGTTTTGCATTTTTTTCAATAAAATAGTTTTTTTTTAGTATCGTCTTTACGATGAACCTGTATGTAGTACAAGCTTTTCTTGAAGCATGTATACATTATATTCATATATGCGATGGATCACAAGTAAAATAAATAAATAAATAATGAAGTATTCTATGAAGCAATTGTAGTTTGTTGAAACAATGCAATTATGATATGATAGTCAAGTTGTTGAACGCGAAATTGCTATAGTTGATATTTGTAATTTTGATTCTCCAATCGTGCTGATCTTGGTGTTGAAACGATTCGACAAGAATTTAAACAAAAAAATATTGGTATATATTGATTACAATTCTTTATTAATTAAAATTCTTCTCATTTGTTTTGTTTTCGAAGATATTGCATTCGTTGAAAGTTTTTTATCATTAAAACTTGGACAAACAAAACTATGAAAAGAAAAGAGCAATTGATTAGACAAGGCAATTTTTTATATTTTTCTAAGGGTGATTTAATTCACTATGCAATATGGAAATCAGCTATATATGATTTTTCTCATGTAAACCAATTAAAACATCTTTGTCTACAATTATTTCAACAAAAATTATCACATTCAATCAATAGAATTCAAAGATATTTTAGAAAATATTTGATTTCATTTATTAATTTCTATTTAGAAAACCAATTTTTAAAGCAATTATTGATCGAAAACCAACTTGGACTACCATTTCCTGGTAATGATAAATTCGATGTTAAATGTACACAATATTTTAATTATACACGATTAAATAAAAAAAAAGATTAAATAAATATTAAATGAAATTTTATTTTAGATTCTTTTTCAATCTTATCTTCAAATACCTTCATTTATTTCAGTTGTTAAACTTGTCTTCGTTGGTTTGAGTCTTTCATTATTTACTAAATTTAGGGTGGGTATGAAGTATTGGTGTGGGTTGAATACGACACCCACATCCACACCCAATAAATACAAGTAGTTTTATGATCTTTTTACTTAAGAAAGATATTATTTGAGGAATCCTTATTATTTGTTATTATACAGCACAAGTGTAAATTTTTTTAATCTATTCCAAAGTCAAAAATGTATTAGAGAATATGAATTCTTTTTACGTTATTGATTAAAGAAAAACATAAGGGAAAGCATAAATTAAATAGATTTATCGATCAACCAATCAATGTTCTTATGCATATTTTTACATTGGTACAAGACCAATTCTTTTTCAAACTATTTTATAACTTTATTTGTCTAATGTATTTTTACTGATCGTTGGTCTACAGAATGAAACTTAAGTGAATTGATCAATCTATTATGATTTGAATACAGAGAAAAAAATTCTTCGTTTCGTTTTGTTTTCTTCGTTAATTGTTTTTAAATGTATAAGTTTAAAATTCAGTAGGCGATCAAGACTATGTCAGCAGTTTGTTTAATCCTTAAATCAATATTTTTGTTCTTTTACTAACAGTAATGTAAATATTAAAAAAAGCTTCATTATGCATCACCTCCATCCTACTCCGTTTTTTGTCATAAATACACGATTAGAAAATTTGTGTATAAACAAAATTCATTTTCTATACTGTATGGATACGTGAACAGTTTTCTTTATCAAGTATTAATACAAATAAAAAATGAACGTATCAAGTTCGTCTTCATTTCATCGATCAATATTACCTCAAAA